GCTGCCCTGATTTGGATGGGTTTAAAATGTCAGGGAATTCTGCTAATAACCGATGAAACCGTGTGCTGCTGCCCGATACAACACTTATGTTGGTAGGTACGTTTGATACTTGGCCCTGTGATGTCAGCTGAGTTGTAGCATCAATTAAGCAATTATTCTTGACATCCACTAGAAGGTGGAAATGTGTCAAGAAGTCGACACCAATAATTGCTTGAGTTACATCCGCAATAATAAAAGGCCAGTTGAAAGTCCGGCGCAAGTTTAAATCAAGTGTCAATAGTTTGGTGCCGTAGGTTGCAATTTGGGTACCATTGGCTGCATACAGTACAAGTTTATTAAGTTGGTGAGCATTTGTTTTAGTTCTCGGGAGCACTGATATGTCAGCTCCAGTATCTACTAGAAAACATAACTGAGTTGAACGATCAGCCAGTACTATTCTGTCGATGTGGCGGACATTCTGTTGGCCAGCAGAAGACCGCCCATTTAGTTTCCCGCTTGTTCAAAAGTGCATGGAGGGGCACACTTGCGAGCTTGAGAGCCAAAATTCATATGATAAAAACATATGCCACTTGTGGGTTCTTTGTACTGCGTTCGAGTATTGTGACGAGATTGACTCCTGCTTCGGGCACGAAATTTATTACGTGGGCCCTGATTTGATCGATTGTATCTCCGTGAAGCATGAAGACTTGTAGAGAGTTCAGATACTTTTTTGGTCAATTCAGCCACTTGTTGTTCGAGGGATGAACTGGAAGGTGCAGCATTAGCAGCACTGACATAAGCTGGAGTAACAAGTTCATTAATTTTGTCAGCCATTGCTGCTAAACGGGTTAGATCTTCATTGGAAGCAGCAAGAATTATTTGTATGTTATTAGGGAGACGCGAAAGCCATAGTGACTTCAACAAGTCGTCACTAAAATGGCTTCCTGCCAGATCACGCATTCGTGACAGCAAGTATGAAGGTCGCTGATCTCCAAGTTCAAGTCCTTGTAGTAAAGTACGTATTTTTGAAGATTCACTTTCTGAATAGATTTCAATGAGCCGCTGTTTCAGTTTGGAGTATTTATCACAATCAGGTGGTTTGAGAATTAAGTCATGCACTGAATTCAGAATATCAGACTCAATTGCTGCAACTACATGGTTGAATTTTGTAGAATCCTCACTAATGCGAGCGATAGAAAATTGTGCTTCGATCTGAGCGAACCACAATGAAGGATTATTTTTCCAGAAAGGCGGTGGCTTCACCGCAACGCGTGTGATTTGTGGCTCTGGTGGAATATCGTCGGGCATACTGATAGATAATTTTCACTTTAATTAATAAACACTTAACAGCACAAATATTGTAGCATGAGGATACACTATTGATATTTTACCATGATAACAATAAATATTTTAACCATGCAGAAAAAATTTACGTAACGATACACACACAAATAATACAGGGTCAGCAATTACACACACAAATAATACAGGGTCAGCAATTACACACACAAATAATATTTTACCGAAATGCATTTGAAAAGAAACCCTTATTTGAGAAAAATGATGCGTTCATTTTGTATTGCGCACACACAAAATCACCACTTCACACTGCTAAGGCACTTTCGAAGGAAAAACACTCCTGTAGCACATGGGAAAAAAATCACTACTTTCGAACACTGAGGGAAGAATTTTGCCGTAGCACGTTGCAGAAAAATTACTGATGTAGCACATTTAGCGAAAATCACTATTGTATCACATTTATCACAAAAGTTGAATGATCGAAGAATTATTGCACGACTGGCGAAGTCAGCGGAACGGAACAGATCACATTGATGATTTGCTGAAGCTCCTTGCGATGATATGCACGACTTTGAAAAAAAAACACAAGCAATATATATCAATACTTCTAGAAATAATTGAAGGGGTACGTTGTAGCATACGTTTAATGTCCATATTCGTTGTTATTTTTAGTCAGTTCTTCAGAATGCCTTGGATGCACGTGGCTTAGGGTCGTTGAAAATCCATTGTCAGTAGCGTGCTCAGTCAAAAGGTCACCACTTTTGGTGGTCGTGTGCTTAATGCATGATATAATTAAAGAAAATAAGAGTAGACAATCTCCTATAACAAAAGAATATATTAAGTACTAAATTACAATTTAAATTACATTGCAGAGATCAACACAGAGCTCGGAACACAGTTCATGCTATCGTCGCTTTGCTGCTCCGATTAAGAACTGGATTTTACACGTGGCGCCATCTCATGAATAGAAGTTGAAGTATCTGTCGAACGCCACAAATCCTTAGTTGAATTTATTCTTTTTTTTAAAACTTTACCCAAAATAAATTTTACAAAACAAACCGAAAAAAAAAAAAAAACCCTAGAAAATAATAAAGGTTGAACATCATAATTTAGAGCTTCTGCGAAAAAACAAGCATTGCGGTCAACAAACAGAAAGACAACATTTTCGATGCACAAAAGTTTAAAATTAACTTTCTGTCCCACTGTGCTACAAAACACTGAAGTTGGTGGACCAACTGATTTAATTCTTTGTACTACTAAGAGTTCAAGTGTACATATGCAGCTGCTACGTTAGACTTAACGCCATTTACACTTTTAAATAGTTAACAATTCTACAATTATTCCATGCAGATTAACTAAAGGATTGAAAATTTTAACCGGAACATGAGAACAACATAATTTAATCATTTTTAAAGCAAAAGTGCATAATTTACCAAAACGTGAAAGTAGAAAAACAGAGTTCACTAAGCTGGATATATATGACTGGCGCAGCCAACTGCAACAAAAAAAGGGAGGTGCATGTTATAGCAGTCCCATATACGAAATTTCAACGCTCTACGTCTAATCGTTTTTGAGTTATGCGAGATATGTATATAGGTAGAGGTAAAAGTATGGGGAACACCAGCGATACCATGGATCAACTGGTAATGCCATCCCCTTGCTAAATATTTAAAAAAAGGAAGAAGGAAACACAATTACAAGCTTTATAGGAATTTACAAAGAAAGTGAAAAAATGAGCAACTGAAGCTTTCCAAAGGATCTAGGTTGGATCTATTATCGTACATTGTGTGATCCCACCGTACGCCTCGCATCCAGTATTTATTAATAATTACGATTTAGGATATAATGAGATTAGACTACATAAATCGCAATACATCATCTGTTTTGGTGTAACAAAAGTAACGGATAAGCAGAATTAGATACAGATAAACTTAAATGAGATAAATATGATAAGTACTAGGAACACAATGTTATAATGAACCGTGATAATAATACTAAAGATGCGTCCACGGGGTTATTACAGTTATATAAGGTTATTACAGTTATATAAGGTTATTACAGTTTATAAAGTTTACAAGTGAAGTCATTTTGTATATATTCACAGGATGCAGGATGCAAAAGTTCATTAAATTTATGCAATATGAAAACTTATACTTGAAATAGGTCTAGGCCAGGGGTTCTCGACCGATGGTACGCGTACCACTGGTGGTACGCAACGAAGCAAAATATTTTTAACTATTAAATTCAAAAATGAAAATCCCAACCTCCTGATTGAGATTTTCTCTAACACTCGTAAATTTATGCGATCTAAACTTTGTTCAAGAGTGATGGTGGTAGTAGTACTTTGTAGTGGTGGTACGAAAGGTTTTCAATTTTTTGTTTAGATGGTACGCGTTGGTCAAAAGGTTGAGAACCGCTGATCTAGACCGTAGGAAGAAAGTCGTTGCATAATTCTTTTAAACTGATGTTTATCTTTAAGTAGAACGAAAAAAATCCCTTCTGAATTCATTTTAAATCCATTTTATAATCGATTTTGGAAAAAAAAGAGCCCTTTATTCTGCCGTATGTACAGCTATCACCCAAAAAATCGTTTAAATGTATTCGAGAGCGGTCAAAATAGGTATATTCGTTGAAATATTATAAATTTCCTTAATCGCTTGGAAGAATTTTTTTTATTGTATTTAAATCAAAATTGTTTAACCTCTTTTTCAATGATTCCAAGTTGTGAAATCACTATCATTTGCAACTATTGCTAGGACGGTAAACTTTGAGTGAACGGAATACGAAAGAACAAAATGAAGAATTTATCGATCTAGTAAAATGACAGGATTTGAAGTGTGATGGAAGGCAAGCTAATGGTACTCAGTTGGAATGATTTTAGATACACTACAGGTGATTAAGAAGATGTTAAGGAACGGAAGGGAGTAGGATGTCTCAAGTGAAAAAGTGAATTGAATAGATGAGAAGTGGAGTTGATTAGTGAGGGAAGTTTAACTAAATCTAACTTATCTTAACGAAGATAGTGGATAAACAATAAAAATAGATGTTCAAAACTCTCTTGAAATCTCTATGAATTCTTGAATTTTATTGTATTGAACGGATGCGTCTAATAACGACTGGTAATTTAATCAATGTCTACTGCAGTAAAGCAATCTTGACCCGTGTTTGTCCATACCAAGGTGCAACTGACCACAAATTCGGGTATGACGAAGAGGCATCTCGTTAAAGAATAAGTACTGGTACGTCGAATGTGCTGGTTTGTGACCTGGGCTTACTCCCATATCCGACTTACATAAATTTTAGCGTTTAAATGAGTTTGTAGTTTTTCAGTAGTAATACAATAATATAGAATATAATTACTTGCTCATTATCTTTGTCTATGCATAAACAATTTTTTGAATTTGCATTTACATGAGGTGTAAATGCAAGGCAAAACAGACGAAAAGTGGGTATGGTCCTTAATGAGGCACATTTTTCAATTTGTGAGCATATTCATTTTGCTGGATGTTCCCTCACTATGCGAGGCAGGGCTATTTAATTTTTTTGATTTTCTTATGCTGTTCTCGATTAAAACTGAAAATTAAAACCCGATCGTTAATTTCTGCACGCTAATGTAGAACTTAAAATCTATTTGAAATTATTATTAAATGTAGAATCATTTTAATGAACTGTGTCTTGTTAATAATAATTAACTATATTAAGATTTAATCTTATAATGACTGTCAGACTGGTACTATTTTCTTTACCTGCTTAAAGAACTCCTTGTACAAACTCCAAACAGCGTTCTTGTGCACTGGCCATGGCTTCCAGTTGGCGCATAAATCGCAAGTCATCATCAACACTGATTTTACAGCATCCCTATAAAATTGCACTTGGCAGAAATTAAACTTATCGTAATAAAACAGAATTAACAATTTTATGGATTGATGTTTCCTTTGATGTTAACCGACAAATGTTTAATTGCATTAGCAGTTATTCTAAAATTTTCTTTGAACATTTTTTTAAATTAGGGCTGGCCGCTTACACTGTTAGCCTAATACAGCTATTATTAAAAAAAAATATGATGATTTTAAGGAATCCAGTTTCACGAATTAGTAGAAGTAGTTTCACGAATGTCAACTCTTAAAAATATCTAACGATTTTAATGATAAACCAAAACTGTTACTTTTTCTGCATTAATTTAAATCAATACTTCCCATTCAACGATTCTAAATACTAGATGCAGTAGGAATTATATAATTATGTATCACACAATTCTCATTCTGTAGCAATCATGTACTGTTTATTCTATATGTACTATTTCTGTTGTAAAATTCTCAATAATATCACAAAATATAGAGTAGACTGAATGGAATGTATACTATAATTAATACTGAAGAATTTCAATGCAAATTAATTAGCACGAGACCAGCTATATCAGACAGCTGCGTCTGAAGTCTATGAACACCTCAAAGTACCTCATTTGCAAAGCTCCACGATCAGAGGCGTAGCTAGGGTTTTCAGCGCCCGGGTACAACTGAAGACGTTGCGCCCCTTTCTCTGTTCCAAGAACGGAAAACATTTCATTCTAAAATTTAATAACATCAATTTGGCGCCCCCTGAATGCTGCACCCGGGGACAGATGTCCCCCCTTGCCCCACCCTAGCTACGCCACTGTCCACGATAACTTAAATATATATAGTTATTACGCTTTGAGATAATAGAAGAAAATTATGGAAAGTACTGGAACAGTATTTGCCTTAGAGGATATGTCTTTACGCTTTAACCTAATGGAAAAGAATTATGGAAAGGACTGGAAGAAAATTTGCCTTAGAAAGATATGTATTTACGATTTCAGATAATGGAAAAGAATTATAGAAAGTACTGAAAGAATATTTGCCTTAGAAGATATGTTTTTACGATGACTCTTTAAAAGTGCGTTTCTCCTAACCAAATCTTTTGTCCACCGTAAATTCAGTGAGAGATGAGTTACCACTTTCCTATGATCTCACCCATTCAGTTACAGCTCGGTATTCGAATAAAAGATTCTTGTTTCTTTGATCTCTATTCATAAAATAGAGATCAAAGAAACAAGTAGAGTAAAAATAAAATAAAATAATAGAATAAAAATAAAGGTCTTTAAATTGCTATTATTTCTACACAGGTACAGAAGTCCTTAGCTCAATGTGGTGGCCAGATCCCACGTGTGTCTACTCTTGCATCGTGACCAAGACTTAGCTATAGAATCACAGATAACTATCTGTGTAACAGACAAGTCCAGTGTACGATAATGTGTGGAATAGTCCTTGGAACTATGGCTAAAAGTTGTCAGCAGGATCTTGTGAAACCTTATAGCAGACTTTATGCTGCCATTGCTGCCTGATGCCAGAGAGGAAAGAATCCAAGCGTTTGCTGACAGTATAATGAGCCTGATTAATAGAAGATACCACTAAGAAATTGAAGGAAAAGCTGAGATTAGCTTGGCTCAATCAGCAAACACTTGCTTGGATTAACAGACATAAACTAAGGACCTCACTATCCAAAACAAAAGTTTTTACAGTTGTCGCTATTGTCCCCTAAAACATAACATAGGCATAAAGATAAAAAGTATAAACTAAAAGTCGTTTCAACGCTACAGTCTTTTTGAATAATATTTGACAATAAACTTAATTGGTTACCTCATGTCAAAAATGCCAATGCTATTTGCAGGCAGCTAATTAACATCATAGTCATACTAAAACATTCCGTCACAACTTACGTAATAGCTAAGTAACGAACGAACTTCTCTGCACACCTTTTTACTCAACAGAAACTCTGATATAAGGAATTTTGTTCCAAATATTCTAATTGTTTAATTTTAGATTAACCTGGTATAAGAACAGATTAATCACAGCGGGAAGCAAACACGAACTGATATCCCGTCACGATTTCGTCGAATAAAAGTTCCATAAACACGCATGCTCAGTTTTACCTTCCATGACTACGGATTAGGGCCTGTTCCACAAACGTGGAATGATGCAAATGGCAATGGCAATTGTGATAGCTAATCTGCCGTCTGAAAGCTTTCTTACGTGCATGACGGAACACCAAACACAATGAGTAAGAAATGGGAAGAAGAAATAGTCAATGCTTCGTGATTCACAAAGAGATATTTTTCTTTGCCGGAAACGTATTCGAATCTGAAAATTTGCGAAAATGTATCGCAAAGAATCCTGTGTGATATCATAGTCAGCACTCCAGACATATTCTTTTACAGTATAATCTGCAAAAAAGATATTTCTCCTTAACTTTTGTTGCAGTTTGATAGTTATTGTATTAAGCAAGATAGGTAAAAAACTAAAAACTCGACTAAACTCGGCGGCACAAACAGCCCTCAGAGAGCCTTGGCCTGCAGTGCCCTGATATCTGCTTATCTGCTTTCTAGACCGTAGGCCCTGAGGTGTATGAGCACATACCCTGGTCAGCTTTTCGCAGGACCTCCAGTGTTTAGTCCTAAGCGCATTTAGTACTCATCGACCCACTCGTGGGGAGTCGATCTTGCCCAGCCCGGGGGTCGAGCCCCGAACCTGTAGTGCTGCCGCGCGACGTGTTAGCCACTGCGATACCGGGCCTCAAGCAAAATAACTAACCAACTCAAGTGTATTATTGAAGAAATAAATGTATGAGAGTTTTAGGTTATAGTTCGGAAACTTTTACTATACTATAGTTAAAACCGTAGTTTCGTACTATAGTTAAAACCAAGAATAATTTGTTTTAATAATTTTAAATATATATTTCAATGCTATGTTAATATTTTTATCACGCTTTCTAATAAATTCGTAGTTTACTGAAAGATAAAGCACGAAAACTTACTTCGTTAAATTCAGTCAGTGCTGTAAAGTGCAAAAGAATATAAATTCACGATCATTTATAACAGCTCAAGCTGCTTAATATTTCTTACCTCACATCTTCTCGTTGCATGTCAAGATCCGATCCGATGAAATGGCGAAGATTCTCACACTGGTTTTTATATCTGTTTAAATTTGTCGATAATATAGCATGTTTGAGTTCAGCCAGTACCTTAAAAAGCAGTATACAGATTTAGGTATTTTTAGTCTATCATGATTAAATGCATAAAACTACATTTTAAGTTTACTAATTCCCTAATTATGTGTGAATTACTAATTATGTATTTCACTAATTATGTGTAATGGGGATGTTCCTGAAATGTACTGGAGTTATAGTAAGGGAATAGGACCTGACCTCCACATAGGCAATCAAAGCCCGTGCCCTGAGTCTTCGCTTTCTAAAGGGCCATCAAATCCATTCGTAGATAAATAGTTTGTGTATTTTCTTTTAAATTTTACGTTTTAATATTATAAAATTCATAGGCATAAAATAGTCCTCCTTATATTATGACTTTCTTTAAAATCAAACACTTGGCCTCTGTCTAGCACTGTCGTTGGCTTGTCGGTCATGGTTATTATTACATATTTTTTTCAGTTTCTTTCATAGAAAACAAAATTTCATATAAAATGCATAAGTTTATATTTTATATAACACATACTACTCTTAAACAATGAGAATAAAAACGTATAAAACCATGAAAAAAAAAACTTTTTTGTTTAAATAACTTCGAAAAGAAAATTTTGAACTATAATGTTATTACACGAAATACTTCTAATAAAATATCATTTACATGACATAATGTTTGCCTTATTGACTCCATTGTATTGAAAAACTTAGAAGTATGAAAGGGGGAAAATCCCGTAACAGGCTTCCAATATTATGAATTGCACTTTATGGTAAATTGACCAAAAATGGGCAAAGTAACTAGGAATGAAGCATCATTGAAGTACTTGAATGCTGAGTACTGGCAAAAAGAATTTTAAAAAAATTACAAGGAAAAAATTTATGAATTTGATATACAAGTTATTCAAGTTAAAAATAATAATTCTTATAAACTTTTCTTCTGAGAAACTCCAGTCAAAACGTTGCCTCTGCGATTATTGGAGGTTGTAAATTTTCCCAGTAGTCCGTATCATAGGGATTTTTACACAATCTATTTCATCTATTCAGAACGAACCTTGTTATTTGACCACTCCGGGAGCACATGGCCAATAATTTTAAGATCAGTTGGTGGTAAGTGTAACAAATCTTTCTTTCCCAAATGATTATGTCATCTTCCTCCCCAGCTCGAGTGGTTAAGACTAAGGTATTTCGACCTAGTTAGGGTTCAATGCCAGCCGAATGCGTTGGCTGCAAGGTTGATTTTTATGGTTTTTCCTATGCATAATGTGAATACGAGCCACTTTCTTTTAGAAAATCTTCCTCGAAGGCATCCTTCATCTTAGATATATTGTCCTTGTGGCTTTGTTATATACTAATACACTAACCTGTAATCTTTCTTTCAAAGATAAAGTGTGAAGTGATATCATATTTGATATTCGTGTCGGCTATTCTTTCGCTACTGAGCCGTTTACCTTCCGCTTCCGTAATTCCGTTCCTTAAAATTCAGAATGGTTTAATTTGAATGAAATATTTTCACAAGTTTTCGTTAATTACATTAGAAAAAGAAATTAAGGTAATTCCATTTTATTCGGTTAAGGTACAAAAATTAAGATCAAAGTTTATTGTATTATTAATATTAAAATTATGTATTATTTCTTTTCTATTTATAGAGCTTCTTCCTAAAATACTTTCTTAAATATGACATGATTTTTTGGCTTCTGAGGCATCTTTTAAATCGAAAAATGTAAGTCAATTTATAATTAATGCTCTATTCGGTTCATTTTAAATTAGAGAATTATTAGGAATTAGCGAAATACTTTAAATAAGTATTTCGCTAATTCCTAACAATTAAATAGGTATTAAATAGTATTTGACTTTCTCTGAACATTTCTGAAAGGGACTAAAATAAGGTGGTTTTTTTTTTTTTTTTTTTTTTTTTTTTTTTTTTTTTTTAAGTATTATTTAAAACTTGTAACTGAGTTATTATAAAATGTAAAGGGAATAATTCTTTTAATTATACTTATCAGATTTTTTTTTTTTTTTTAAACCTTTCATTTCAACAATACATATTCCAAAACTCTTTATTACGTTCTTAAGTGCGCATCTCATAGCATTTGCTTTACAATACCTTTTAACAGATTACTTTCCAATACGAACAATTCTTGCTTAAATAGTTTTATAACGTATTTGTCAACAGGATTTTCATTTATGTTTACTATTCAATATTAAGGTTATTATATATTTAGATAACATTTATAATCATTATAAATTAGATACATTTAATCATTAGATTTCTTCACAGTACTTTCACAGTTGTTTATAAGTGAATAAATTCTTCATTTCAAATACATTTATAAATAATTTAATGAATATTTAAGTATTTTGTCAAAGGCAGATACATGCTTTTTGCAAGCACATGCATAAATACCCATACATATTTCCTATTTATCATTTCCGGCATGTGCAAATCTTTAATTTCTGTGCATTCACTATATTTTTCGTGTAAAGTAATTTACACTAATTTAGCATACACCCGAAAGTTTTACATAAAAAATATATATGAATATAATTGGAGTGAAAATTATAAGTATTATTTTTAATACCCACTCAAAGGTCAGTTTTTCTTCAAAATTCCTCCACGATGGCATCTCTCTCTTTAGGCAGATAGCCCTTGCATGCGTTACTCTATTTAATAAAAACTTAATCTGACCTATGTGCTTAATTACAAATATTTTAACATACATAATTTTATATTTACATTTAGCCATCAAGTTTCAAACTTTTCAAATCTTCTAGAAAATAAATTTTGGCAGATCTCTTTTAGCAATTTTCTTAAAATCTATATTTTTGTAGTGCAACAGCTTATAATTTTATAAAACAAATTCATAATCAAAATCACTGTTGTTAGTTATCGAAAAATAACCAAGATGTGATTTTGCGTAAATATCAGTAAACTATACAAATTGCTATTATCCATCACACTATGAATGTTTCTTTCATGCGAGAGTATCCCTTTTTCGATTTCTATGGAACTGTCGTGTGTCGAAATACTATCAGAATCTTGTCAAGCGAGCTTCTGAATGTAAACAAAGAACACCCCGTCTGGTGACCCAAGCTTCAAAGCAGTGCTTCACTTCTAGTGCGGAATGGCCCTTCCTCCCTTTCCTACCTCCATGTAATAAAGCAGGGGCTCTCCACCGGGAGGGGGGGGAAAGAGGAGAGAATTTCTCTCTTAGGGATAATTTCATAGTTTCAGAAGATGAATGCGCTTAGTCTTTTATTTACCTTTGTGCTGATGAATATAAAAACGTCTTTTATTCAAGTTTTGGTATTTATCAATACTTTCTATACCTTTTTCTTGTTTAATGTATGAAACACATTCAAAAACGATCTAAATTTAAGTTCATGCGTATTTATTTTTCGAGTTGTGGAAAGGAGGGAGGAGATGATTGTCTGGCAGTGGTAAAAGCGGTATCATAGACCATACAGCCAAAAAGGTTGAGAAACACTGCTATAAATCTTGATTTGGAGTCAACAGCCAAATATTCCATCTCATCTGAAGCGGCATAATGAAGCTCGCATTGATTAGAAAAACAATTATTAATAAAACTGTCAATTTATTGTTTACTGATATAAAAGTTATATCATATAGTACAGAAGAAATCATATAAAAGAAATATAAGGGAAAATCAATAGTATTTTTCGAATATAGTAACTTTTTGTGCAACAAGGGCAATGTAAAAAAAATTAAAGCGGGAATAAAAGGAGACACTACTAAAAAATACTAAGAAAACAAAATTAATGAATCACAACAAAATCCAGAGCAACTGAATTGCGAGATATCTGATCTTGATATTATGGTACAAGCACAGTTGATTGTATTAAAGGAGAATGCTTCAGGGCCAAATCTTATTCAAAATACCTAGTTACTCTAAGTTTTGGAATTTAAAAGTTATCCTAAATAATAAATAATATCTCGAACTAAAAGTTTTACCGAAAAAACATTATTGACTTTTCTCACTTCTTACCAAGTGGCAGTAGCTTTAATCAAGTCAATAATTGACTGCAGAAAACAAGAAACACGTTGAATATTTTTGAACGAGGTGATATAAGAATTAAGTTAAGTTATATGACAAATATTTAAATAAAATTTCATCATTATGTCAAGCGCAATCATCCAATGAATTAAAATCTGACTTTTGTGCAATTAGAATTTGTGATTTTTTTTTTGGAAGCTTATTTATATTTCTAAATATAATAATACAAAAAGAATAATAAAACATAAATCTAATAAACCATTCTTTTCATATGCTTAGCCTAAGTTATTTATGTGCATTTTATTTGTTTTATAATTATGTTGCATGTTGTATATTATAAAGAAACGTAAAAGGGAATTGATGAAGAAAACCGTTCTTTTAAAAGGAGTTGACGCAAGAAAAGTGTTAGGAATTCCTTTTGAAACGCCTATGCAGCCAGCCCGTTCGTCGGAATTGGAACCCCGGTGCGAACTGCAAGTGTTCAGCGACTTTACTGCTCGGCTGCTGGTGGGCTGGTAACACTCATATCTCTTACGAGACTGAAAGCATTTTATTAACCCTTAAATGCACGTAGTTGCCATTTGGCAACTATATGACTAACTGATATTTAGTCATGTAAATCAAATCGAAACACAAATTTTAGCTTACTGCATATTGTAACCAATTGGATACATGCTGTTTGCGTATTTTATGGTTTTGAAAGTTTCAATGTTGGTAGCTGCACTAACGGTGTAACGATCATTTTATTGTGAGCTGACGTGTAGGGTGTGGACATCATTTGTGTTTACGAATTTTTGATTTTGTGTTTGTTGTTATTTTGATGCATTCAAAGAATTGAAATTGGTTGAACAAGTTTATAAGGTATATATTATTACATAAAATTGTTATTACACATTTGCCCATCATATTTCTTTTGTAAATAATATTTTTTCAAAAACTAGAATAAAAGCTTAGTTTAGATTTTTTTAGCATTTTTCCTATTTTATTTGATATCAATTCTAATGTATTTTTGATTTAAAAAATAAAAATAAAAATTCGTGCATTTAAGGATTAATGAGTTGCTGCCATTAAATAGAGTGCAAAAAAATCATTATTTTGAATAAGAAAGGGAAAAAATATTTTCAATTTTTTCCACAGTAAACAAGATTAGAAAGATATTACAAAGATAAAATTAATTACAAATATTAATGCGTGAATAAAAAATCCAAATATGCAATTCGAAATTTGTGAAAGAGGTATTAAGGAATTGACCTTTTGAAAAATATTCTGCCATAGCAGAATAAATAAATAAATCCGAAAATGTAGCTGATTCAGTCTTCATACGATCTTCTGGTATATCCCACAATAATTAACAATGAAGAAATTAAATAATTTTACTGCAGTTAACATAATATACAGCATGAACACGAACCAGTTTTTAGCAATCCTCTGTGAAACATGCTGTGCCATAATGAATTAATGAGATAATGAACCATCTCTTATTAAGCGGAAATCTAAATTGCAGATTTAGTGCACTTCTGAAACATAGAAATTAATAGTTAAAAATGATTTCTGTCCATAAATATGAACAATATTTCCATTCTAAATATATAAGATTGAGCAAAAATTCAATCATCAGTTTTAAAATACGTCCACTCAGTCATAATTAATTGTGTCTCCTTACTCTTTTAATGAAAAATTAGAATTATCATCCTGCTTTATCATTGCTGTGTAACAAAGAGCACAACCAAGGACGATTCTGTTACCAGGTAAACTGTATCTAAAATATAGAACTTCTCTTTCCTGTTCTACTTGTGCACTGTCGTCTGCGTTAATAATAATAATAATAATAATAATAAACAGTAATGACAACAATAAAATATGTTGCCAACGTATAGATTTTTGTCACCTACAATTCGTATAATTTCTTTAATTTATCTGAAAGAGTAAAGATTTTAAACTCATTAGATGACAATAGTAAATGTTACTTTTTTTAAAAAAACAGAAGAAAAGTACCTCCTCCCTTTCTGATTAAATTTTAACATACTAAGTTCGGTTCATAAAGATGAAGAAATTACACATTGCTGTTCAACACTTCATGTTTCTCAATATAAAAATAAGAATTTTTTTTTAATTAGATAGTTTTTTAATTAGATTTTAGGCAGCTGTTGAGCACTTGAAGTGTCAAACTGAAGTTTAGACGACGAAACTAATAAGGTATATTCCTCTTTTCAAAAAACATTAGAATGGAAATTATGTTATGTACCTTTTTGTAATCATCGCCATCCAGATCACAGAAGACATTGCAATTGATGTCCTAAAATATACATAAAAAATATAATTATTTATTATTAAAATGCAAAATTATTTTAAAGCTTAAAAAATATATACTGTAGAATACAATTAAGTCTACGCAAATAATATCACCGTAATTTTTTTCTTTTTTTTTTTTTTTCTTTTTTTTTTTAATTCAAGTATATGTTAGACATGCGTCCGCTGTGATTTCAATATCTTAATTTGTTTAACTTTCTGCCGAGAGATGGTGATGTTACATAAAATGATTGATGCAACATGATGAACATCTATGACGATATGAATGACGAATCTGTGTAAAATCGATTGCGGTATTTCAGACAGAATTGTGGCATTTTTTTTAGAAAACATTTTTTTTTAAAAAAATGATGATTGGCAAATGTCATTATACTATAATCGCTTTGAGAACTTGAAAAATTGTCAATGAAATCATTATATAACGTTGATCCAATCATCTTTCTGCAAATTTGAGGCATTAGGATAGATCTGGATCTATATTTTTAATTGCCATACATTTAAACCTTTATTATAATTCTTTTAGTTTTTAGTTTCCATTCTAGTATATTAAAATAGCAATAAAATTTATAATAATTTAAATTCAAAAGATATATAAAAAATATCTTTTCATTACTGTAAAAAAATTCAGGAACTGATATATATCTTCCTATGTAATTTTGTATACTAATTATAATTTTTTAAAAGAGCCCATGTCATGAATAAAAAGGCATAAAGCTTGACAGAACACTTAAAAACAAAGAACTTTTGTCATTTTTTTATTTCTTAGTTTGAAAAATGACAGCAAAAACTCCTGTAAAATTTACAGCTAGTAGAATACTGAATAAATAATCACTATATTGATACTTCGTAAATTTGATAATGATTACAGCGGCACTCTGTAAGGAATATTTTTTTTCTTATGAACTAAAATCTTTCACTTCCAAAACCTGCAGGTAAGTAAAGAACTGGTGTAGTAAGTTTTCTGTACTGTGATTTTATATACATGGTTTAACCTTAAATATCATTCCTGCTATTCAGAAAAGAAACTCTAAGAAAAATATTTATACATTATTCACTTTTTTTTTTTTTTTTTTTTTTTTTTTTGTAAATACGTTTATTTAATTAAAACCCATCTTCAGAAAAATAATCATATGTGTCCCTGTTGGATTACTCAAAAAAAAAAAAAAAAAAAAAAAACCCTCAAATTGTCATCACAGAGACATGGCAATAATTAAGTTTGTTGTCATATTGTTGCAAGCTGACATGAAGAGCAAGTTGCTTAAGTATCCCAAACCGGCAACTTTGTGAAATGTCACTTAAATAGCCTCGTTCACGGTTATTTGAGTTATGAATCTCAATCTGTACTCAGCTTTTAGTACATGTTTGTCGTCTAGCTTTGACTATTTCCTTCTTGTGAATTTGAGGTTTTGCTTCAGTGCATAGCAATTATTTTCAAATAAAAGCTGTTAAATTTATTTTTCTTTTGTTGCGAAAAAAATTCTGGTGTTATTTTCAGAAACAGAGTTTCCTTAAAAAGTCCTCCATGAAGACATCGCTTCTCTCATACACATATGCTTTGCCATAATCAAATAATCCATTCCAATCCAATCCTTCATCAATACTGATCCTGTCTTCCAAAGTGATTATATTCTCTCCGAATTTTCCAGGTTTTCGTCAAATTAATCCTGATTATTCACTCAGGAGATCAAACGCGAATCATACGAAAACGTAGCAGTATGCATATTCTATTTGCTGATTTCATTTATTGCCATAAAATAGCAGTCGCTGTTTCCTTATTTCTATTTGTATTGTAAAATGTGTGTCGTCTCACCAAGAAATAAGCGAATGCCCTTATCGCTTAGATAGATATTTTTAACAGCACTTAAAAGCACCTGCCCATTTGGCCGTGAACATCTGCTTCTTACGAGGTGCAGAAGACGGTTTATGTGCTTGGCGTTAGTGTTTAGTATTCCATTAAAATAATAACTAACTGATTTGGAGTATCAGTTTAAAGCAGTTTTATAACTTTCAACTCAATTATTTTTAAATAAGGAAAAAATTTAAGAATTCTCCAGCTGATTCTTTGATGATATTTTCCCCTTACTTTTGTGTGAATAATGGCCTGTATACATCATTAAAGTTTTTTTTATACATACTGATATATTTTCTTACAATAAGACAATATATGTTACATCAGTGTACTGCAGTATGTATGAAATTGAAATGACTATTATCTGATAATTCAGCAAGAAGCCAAGTTAAAGATTCATTGCTTTGCAAGTAGGGCCTGAATTATGTTAAACACCTTTCTAGGATTCTAGTTTTCCATCTAGAATCCACACTGACCATACACTAATAATTGAACGGATAACGCCATTGAAAACTGGTAGTTTGAATCGCGTTCTAATCTTGCAAAAGAGCTGGCTACTTGAACTTTTTCAAGGTTTTCGCATATGTAACTTCAATACTGGCGCTGTCTTTCACACAAATTTTTCCATTAAAGCGTTCTCCACGAAAGTATTCTTCATCTTAGCCTATATATACCCCTTCCATGCTTTTCCTCAATAAATTAAACAAACAAACTAGTCCTTGGGAGGGGGCAGTGTTACGAAATGTACAGGCGCGGTAAGACGGCTTCCACGCAAAGCAGTTTTAAAGTTGCCATAAAATTGCAAAAAAGGAGGGTTGCCACATTTGGCGATAATTAGCGACAAAATTGAGAATGTGCCATGGACGCATGGGGAACCTTTTGGAACGAATTCTTACCGGTTTAGCCCAGGACGTTCTCGAACACAAGCCGAAAGCTATATAAACCCTGCTGGTCCGCAGTCAGTTAGTGTGTGTCTCTCAACGAGTGTGGGTGCCTCGTTGAGAGGGCGAGTTGGTGCGCCTCGAGAGTGCGAGATAATTAGTTTCTCGAATCGATTAATTTGACAGCCGGGCATTGACTGCCGAGTGGGTCGTGGAGTTCACCGAAAAAGTCTCGTAGTGTATCGCGGTTAGTGCATCGTCGAGAGAGCGTGTTGAGCTCCGGAACGACTGAACCGAAGAGTCGGGAAGCCATGCTCTGAGTGTGTCGTTGAGTGCACTTGCGAGTTTTACCGAGTGGAGAGTCTCAAAAGTACGTGGAGTTCTGAGAACGACCAAGCAAAGTCAGGAACTGTACTCTAGGTGCTTTGCAGTGAAGCTGTCTCCACATGTGATAGCCTGATAAACTGGAGGCTGTGTCGCTTGATTGTGTCCAGCGAGTGTTTATAGTAGATTCATCGAAGACTGTAAAATTGTCACTTTGGAGCTGTCCTGGTTAATATTGGCTAAATAAAGTGTGTTTCGATACTTCATCAAGTTTCGTCGTCATTCACTCCAAATCTACGAACCCCGAACGAACGTGAAGGAAGAAAATAACGTAACAATTGGTGTCAGAAAAAAAAATCCGTAACAATATTATATATATAACATTTAATACCATTCGTTAATTTTACTAATATTTAATAGTATTGAATTAGCTGGGTAAGTTATTTAATGTTCTAAGACAAGTTTATCAATAAACAATAAAGGCCCCGTTCTTCCAAGAATTGCGGATCCTTAATCACGAATCAAGAGATTTATTTGACATCACATGCAAAATATCAATTACAAAATCTGTATTTCATGCTGCTTGCTGAAAACTCTGTCAACGATCTATCTAGTAACATGAAAACTGAGTCTAAGATGCTAAAGAGGTTATCAAACATGGCTACATTCCCTGTTAGACGGAGCTTTTCTGAGAAACGAGATTCTGGTAGCACTAGTTTAAACGGGAGGATTCCTAGAAAAAAGAGCCCCGCCTGAAGCGAAGTCCCGCCTAGCTAGGGAAACAATGTTGCGGCTACGCAGGATTTTTTCAAACCTTAGCGAAAATGTCTCGGCTGGACCTCAGTCCCCGGTAGAGACAACCAATCAGACGAAAGTTCTGCTTCTGAAGCCTCACGTGATCCCAATCTGAGCGATAATCGATTAGTGTTTGGCGTTTAAGTCTTTGTAGTAAGTGAAAATGGTAATCTAGCTACGTGGGTTCCCTGGAATTGGTTCTAAGAATTGTCCCTTTCGACGTCATGTCCCGCGTAGCCGAAACATAATGTGATTGGGACTTAAGACTTATCGGACGCCCTACACAGACCTGGTATTTATTCAAACATCTTTCTGCATAGGAATAAAGGACAATTTATTACGCAGCAGAAACTGTAATAAATTTATTTTCTATCTTGATTAACTTGTTTCAATATGGCGTTGCGCACACAGGCTACTTACTAACGGGAAGGATGCCTTCGTGGAGGACTTTCTAAGAGAAACTGACTGGTATTCACCTTACGCATAAACAAAAACAAACAATACAGGCAGCCCTTTCACTTGAGTTCAAACGTGGGTTTTTTACCAGTATTCAGTGGTTTTAACCATTCAGTTTGTGGCAGGACCTTGCCACCATGGAATGACATCCTCACGAAACCTATTAGTGCTAGCATTATATTACAATGAAGTCAGAAAAACTCTGTTCAAACCAATTTGGAACCATATATATATAGCATTCGCTTCCTTTGGGACAGTAAATTATTTGCTAAGCATGAGACCTTAATAAATAATCTAATCTATTCAATGTAAATCAGGAAAGCAGAGAAAAATATTAAAAACAAAGACGCGATAAAACTACTTTCTAAGTAACGTGTCCAAGCTTATCTTTTGAATCATCAATAAATAGTCTTTCACATTTTTTAGTCAATCATTTCCAGAACATTGTTCTGACATACATAACTTATTCGAGACAATCCGGTCTCAAAGTTCTGTGTTATTTTGGTGAATCCTTATCTAAAATACGATAATATAATATACTCTGTCACACGTTATCTAGTCTTTTTTGGTATCTTCTTTCAGGAAGCTGAAAAAACATAAGTAGAACAAGAAACCTGATTTGCAGTTTTGTAAAATTTGGTTACTATTTTAACAAAAGAATAGACAGGAGTAGATAAAGACGATAAAAATCTGATAACTTTACTTAAATGGACTTCAGACAATGGCTTCTAACAAATTTTGTCGTCATGAAGAAAATTTAAGATATCAAACTACCCTAGCTTTAGTTAGGTTCAAAATACAATATATCGTTTTGAAGCAAGGGAGTAGAATTTCGATAAAAGTTGCGGCACATTTTACAATTTCCTTTACAGTTTTCAGATATATTCAACATGCATTAAATTTAATTAATTAATAGAAAGAAAAGCACCCCCTCGAAATTAAAATTAGGGAAATCGACCTCAAAATGACACTGGTTTATCAGAATTCAAGATTATTTAGATTACGACAAAGCACGCTAAGAAGAGAGATGACATTGTAGAGGATTTGAGAAACTACGAAACGCTACAAAAATCCCTATGCAACAACCAGAATATGAACACAGATTAAACTGCTTATATTCAGCTACATTCAGAAATCTTAACGCATTTCCAGGACAGCAGGCATAGAGTTCCTGTTCTGTTTCTGGTTCTTGATGAAGAGGGACCGATACTTGCCTTTCTCGAAATGCACGTAGTTTCTTTATGAAACTAATGTTGGTTTAAAACTGAAGTTTTCTCAATTTTAAATGTACCTGATTTTTTCGTTACAGTTTCTTGTTAACTAATTGTTTAATTATTAACTGTAATTAAAAATTAAGAAAAAGCTTTCGTGCAATAATACAGATTTTAAAGAGATTTAGGAGAACTGATCACCAGAAGGAAACAAAGTTTAGAATTTTACATTTTTTCATAAATTATGTACATTCGTAACTAAAAAATGCTAACAAAGGGATCTATAGCTAAAAATCTATGAAATATGCTCTCTAAACTAAAAATGTATAAATGAATTAATTTTTAAGGTACATAAGTAAATGTTAATTTATTACCGAGTATAACTGGTAAATCAAAATCACTTAAGAGTTTGTTCGAAGTGAACTGCAGCGCTAGCACGAAATTAAAGGACGGCGTACAAATTTCTTCCTGAAACTTTTCTTTCGTATATTATCTTCTTACGTTATTTAAATCAACAAAACAATTAAAAGTAAGAGTAGAAAAATTATTAAGTTTAACGTTAGTTAACTTGAGAAAATCATTCAATTCGGATAGAGTTTTGCCATAATAAAGTGCGTCGATTGTTTACAGACTATTTAACTATGAAGAAATACCTGCAATATGAGGAAACAAATCTCTATATGGTGATTTTCTACGATCGGAGTGTGGTACATTCTGCCTAGTGTGCAGTTGACTTTCTTCAAGTATTGTTCATTCACACCTGGATGTCCAGTGTCGTGGGCGATGCTAGCTATCATTAAAGCCTTCATCTAACGAAAAAGAAAAGAACGCGATTAATATTTGTCAATTATCCCACTCCATGCAAAGATTTAATTGCAACAACTAAACGAATAACAATTTTGACCGATATTAAATTTGAACCTTAGTCTAGAATGACCATTGCCTGCGTTGCAATAAGAACAAACAAACAAATAAAGAAAGCTATTAATGATTGACAGCAAGCATTCGATGAGAAACTACTTGGAAGTAATTTTACATCAAATTTCTAATAGATTTCTGAATTCGATTAATCTACACTTTTAAAATCTGTGTGCGTCTGTTTGTTTGTTTGTGACATCATCTCCTCCGTTAGCTTAATGGCAAACCGCACATTGAGTTAATCAATGTTAACGAATTTCGCTTATTGCGCATGCTCAGTGGTGTACCGTTGGCTTGGGAGAAAATACTGGCGACTAAGCATAAGCAACGCTACACACGCCTGTTCATCATGTATGTCTTATCGACTGTTTACAAATGCAATGCTACGAAAATTTGTTTGTGCTTATTGCATTTGCTTCTGTTTCATTTCATTTTGGTTTATATTGCTTATAAACGTTAGATTTAATATCAGCTATTTATAATACTTTCTTTCACTTTAATTCAGTAATTTAAACTAGATTTAATCCTTAATTTGTTAAAGTATATATAAATGGAACATATGGTAAATACTCAGTTGCTTTCATTCGTCAGAAGTATAATCAGCTGATATATCTTGTAATGTTTCCTGTTTTGTAATCCTTCATAAACGAAAATTTGCGTAGTTTACATTCGATATTTACACTCCAAGTTAATGAAGCAACTTACAACCTGACAAGTTTTAAAACCGCGAACTGTTTACGCCCAAGATAACACAATGTCAACTATATACTATATTTATCTTTAAAATTTGCTCGATGTCGTAACTGCGCCATATTCTCTTCTGAGCATGCGCAGTAAGCGAAATTCTTTTAACGTTGATCAACGCAATGTGCGGTTTGCCATGACGCCCTCCCGAACGGTGGGGAGTTGAGTTTCGAGAAAGGACCCCCCACCCGGATTCTAAAAGCTCGTGAGAAGCCATTTCGACCATTCTCATCTTCGTACGACTTTATTCAGCCGAGGTATTAATTAAAAACTCTGAAAACGCTAATTTTCGTACTTATTTTTCCGACTGAAAACAGTCTTGCGAGCTGGAGATAAAAATCTGCTTTATTTCGAAACATATTGCCACTGCTCGCTTTCAAATCGCAGAGTTTGGCAATGAAAATTTTGTAAGTTTTATAAAATATGAAATAAAAGTAGCATTGCCAAACACTAAACGTATTATTAATATGTAAGGTCATATTCTGACGTTGAAGAAAGCATGCGATTGCCTGTGACGTCACTGTACGTCGAAGATTTTTCGTAATGTCAGCAATTTAAATAAATAACTACTGTTGGCAATTTTTTTTATTTCAAGTTAGGATAATTGACACAATAAGTTATTGCCACGTTAATTTGTTTATTCATATTGAGAAAAAGATGTTATGTTACATTAACTTGAAATCATGACGTCATATTAACCTAAAGTGTCAAAAGGTTTTGTTTCCTGGTTTGGCAACAAAAAAATTTTTTACGAATTGGTTGTTGCTTGGAAAGACTGAACTGATTTCATTCGTATTGAAATGCTTTTATACATTTTCTTTTCAGGTGCACATAGAACTTATAAATTTTGCTTTGTGCACAGCCCACTCATCTGGCGAGCTTGCTCGCTAGTCTTCTATAATACCCGTTTTGCCTGTAATTTCAAGTTAAATTTGTCATGATATCCTCGATATCTTGAGCAAATTCGAATTTCCGCAGCCATTTCTTGTTCGATAATAATGGTTGCAAAGAATTTTTCTGACTTACAGAATAAGTTCGAAAAATTTCTATTACTGAGCAAAAAAAAACCTCGATGAAACGTTTTCATTGCTGAAACACCGAAGTGCTCTATAGTAAGACACCTCATGATATCCTGCTTCGAGCTCTATAAAGAATCACTCAGTTGACGATGGTTAAATCCGCGACAGCGAACAGGGCCGCTGGCACAATCGGTTCAACAACGCGTTCAATGAGGAATTTCCCGTGTATAAGATAATGGTAAATAATATGATGAATTACCAGAGGTTTCGACCATTTACCCTCTTCATAAATCTTAAAATTTTGATCAAAAAATCCTTTCGCCGATCCATACATTTTTACCACCATCACTTAGAATACATTTTAATTCATTACATTGCAAATAATACTGTGTTAACGTTTTCTCGACTTCCTTGAAGATATCTTCACTTCTGGTTGTTTTATCCAGACTATTCATAGAAGAAAATTATTCAGTCACCTCAAATTCAGAATTGAAACCTCGAATAAACATCAGCAATGTCCTTAGCTCTTCTAACAGTTGTTCTCGCCGAAACATTGACAGATCGAAATCAAATCCGTTTTCTCTGGACTCGTTTCTTCAGCTGCCACAGTTATTCGTTTGTCTCGTAGTTTAATTACTACACTATATAATTAATTGCAGCACGATTAATTAATTAATTCACCGTGAGTAATTTCCTTCCCTTTCGTGACTAATAAATGCGTTATTCGTAATATGACTTCAATTTCTGATTCGTTATTGTTTTTTATTATTACGAATAAATTGCATCGTAGTGAAGCATTTTGTTTTAAGCTTTCCGTTTCTTTCTGTTAGCGACTGTTCATTTTTTATAAGTTCTGAATACTGTATCGCATGCTTAGCTTGGTAACGGCGACATATATTGTATACTTTTCGCACAGATGTTATTTCCTTCAGTTCTATAATAAAATAATTCACACCCCATTCTGATTTAAAAGTACTGTACTTAAAGTCTCCTTTTATCTTCTTATCTGATCTGGAGGGTAACATAGCAACGGTGAGTAATAAATAAAATAAAACGAAACGAACAAAATATTGCAGAGACAATATCACATGTTTCGCTAAGAGCGAAAGCGAAAGAATTCTGAACGTTTGTTTTAAGTCAACGGCAGACGGTCTATCTTAAATCACCGAATACCTGCATGGTTTGAAAGAGAAATAACATTAAACAATTTTGACCATCTTCCATGTTGTAAAAAATTTTCAATATTAACTATCAAATATAAATATTATAATGAAATATTAAAAAATGCTACTATTTAAAGTTAGCTAGTAAAGCTCTTACGGTAATTCAGAGAAAAATTAATAGTTTTGTTCATTAAAGAAAAATATTACGCTAGAACTAAACACGTATTTTAAGTGCTGATTCCGGTGGAGTTGTATCTGTCGAAAACGCTTGTTCCAATGTATCTGTATTGCTGAAGTTATCATATTTTACAAACTTTACTTACATTAATAATTGCTTAATTAGCTTTTAATTAATGAATGAATTTTTATTTACATAACAGCAATCTGCTTTCGCTGTTGAAGTTATATTAACCCATCATTTGTAATTGCTTCCCGTTGTTAATATTTTCATATTTGCTTGATAACGACAAAACACACGACGGCAACAGTGGCGTAAGGAGGAGATACTTTATGAATGCTTTTTTAGATAGATAACCTTGGATGGCTTCTATTCATGTTACATATGAGGAAAGCATTAAAACACCTTTGCAGCCCCACCCGTTCAATGGTATTTGACCACGGGTCGAACTGCCAGTATTCAGCAGGCTTATCCGAGTTTTCTGTAAAGATTTGTGGACAGGAATTTCGAATACAGTAAATAGTTCTACCAGTGTTCTAATACTCTCTTTGAATGGGCTTTGTTTGCTTGGACGTTTTCGGAATTTTGCCCGTAAGTACGTGAATGATAGTCAGTTTTCCCTAGAAAGTCCACCATGAAAACATTCTTTTCCTTAACACAAGCATTCTAATTTCCAAGGGGAATATGTAATGCTTGCGTCATCTGAGCCGAACTGCATTACAAAGCACACGTTAAAAATGATTATCAGAATTTCCAGACTTTCTTGTATATGTTTTTCAAATCAAATTCTTTTCGTTCCTGTTTAGTCTTTCTGGTTTCCTACTAGTCAACCAATACGTATTTGTAATTGAAAATGTAATTTCTCGTTGAAAAGGTTCTCAAAAAGTGACTGTAAAGCAATTCTGTTTGCAATGTAACAAATTATTATTCAGTCAACTTCGAAGCAACATTCATTCAAAACGAAAACACAAACATTCACTCTTTTGATAGCTGCCGTAGATTGTCCTTCGCGTCGTTCAACATAACTATAGAATTGTCTGAAAATGTTGAACTCACCTTGGAAAGAACAGCGGAGTCGGGGGAGGGGAATCTGGCAGATGTAATTGCTGGGGCACGATGGAAATGTGTTATTTGTTGAACGAAACTGCGGCACTCGAACGGATTTGCTCACATTTTGACACTGCCACGAGTGATCGAAAGATGCTTTAGCTCCATTTGCATACAAATTACCTTATTCTAGGATGATGTTGTTTCTTATACTTCTATACAAAGCCTCTAAATTTCAAATAATGTCAAATAAACGTCGAATGATACACTCTAAAAACAAAAGTCAATTATTGAAAAAATATGGAGTGTAATTATTAGGGCTGCCATTAATAAATAAATAAATTTGAAAGAGTTCAGATTTTAACAATCTCTCAAAAGGATTTGTTAAGGTTTTTTTTAACGCTATCGCACATTTTGTAATCTACCAGTGCTGTTGTACTCACTCCTGCTAACTCATTTCTTTTTGGTCTTATTACGAGTAGTTTTATTATTAAACATCATAATCTGTGTATTAATTATCATTATCTTCGCAGTTAAGCCATGTACAGTTCAACAGCAAAATTACAAAAGTTTTAAGAGCAGGACAGCAGCATATGTTTAGAATTCCAGATGCAGAGTTAAGTGTTGATATGTATTTTTCTAATTTTTTTCCCCTTTCAGTCTTTTCTCAGCTTTTCATATCAATGTTCAGTTTTCTTAATAAGGTGACTTGCAAAATTATTAAATTGCCGGAAATACCA